GGGCAGCTACAGAAGGAAGTTGCTTCCATGTTCATACACGTAACATTCTGCAGCGTTGACAAGTTAAAAGCTTAAGAAGAGAAAAGACTTATTAACTGTGGGGTTTCTTTTCACCTTGTGAATCAGATTATGTCAGTCAGGAGGGGAGAAAGCTTTAAATGTAGGCCTCCTTTCGTTTTACGTCAAAGCACTGAACAAGTAACAAAAAAAATAATGCATTAAAATAAGAATTTTGCCTTGTAGCCCTATTTACAGCGTATCACAGGATCTCCTCACACACTTATTTATTTTTTGTAAACATTTCAAGTGGGGCACTGTTTTATAAAAGTGCGTTCCTCAATCACACATCACCTAAAATTATTTGTCGTCTTAGAAGGGCTCATAATTAACATGACACAATTTTAATTAAATATGTATAAATGTTTCTTGCTGGCCTCAACACACGGACTGAAGCATCTGAGGGGGAATACATCGCAAGTTCGTCCCAGAACTTCCTGATTAATCTATTCTAATCTGGAGTAATTACGTGTCCCGGACTAAAGAGACAATGCACTGAAATAAGCGATAATGTCGTTGCCTGGCAACTCAGTGTTAGCAATCACTGAATCTTGGGGTTCATTTAATAGGAGACGAAATGTTAAATCCGAGCTACGTTTCCTTCAACAGGCACAGAGTAGGATCCAACTATTAGGAACTACGTTTCAAAGACTTTCCTTTGTTATCCTGATCAACGAAAAGATTTTAGTTAGGAAAGCAAATGGTTCCAGAGGTGGGATATTTCTCAAAATTTTATGCATTTAACGAGGATAAGGATTCTTCTTTGGATTGTGGTCTTCTGGGCTATAATGCCGTGTACACGTGATCAGCAATATTTCGATGACTTTTTCTTGCCAATCGTGTTACTTAAGTTTGGCACTGGCCAATTGAGAACTTTTTGTGCCTTTACAGTGCAACATCCAGCAAAATGAGAACAATCGACGATAGGCACAGATTTTTTTTCACGATCCGCGGATACATAAAACTAAATGTTGGAAAAACTGGATACATGTGGAAAACCGCAGATGGCCAGACACGAATTAACATTTTTAACGACGAACCGCACTTCGTCAATTAATAACAGACTAAATACCCATTCCATGAAATTTACACGGGAAACGAGAACTGGTGCGCTGAAATGTGCGGTACGAATTCCACGTGCAAAACAATATTTCATACTGAAATATAAAACATCAGATTGCTGTAATAAACGTACTGACTCCATATGGGACACACACACATACAAAAAAAAACATAAATACGACCCAGTCCAAACATGGATTATCGACAATTCCGCATGGCTCACAGGCACAGATCGTTAATTTAACGTACTGACGTTGCGAATTTAGGCTATAACATGATTCTGTAGATAAAATATTAGATTCCATGCAACGCAGTCCTTCCTGAGGAGCTAAGAATACGCTAAGCTAGTCAAGAAATCCCCCCGCCCTTAGTGAAAACCGGAAAGTTCATAACAGAGTTCACAAAACCACGGCAATGTTCATCATCTTGAGTCACATAAATCCAGTCCACTCCCTGATATACTATTTTTCTAACATTCACCTTGAAATGATCGTCCCATCTGGTCATATGTCTCCCAAGTGGACTCTTCCCTTCAGGTCTTACGAAGAAAAATTTTGTATTCATTTATCGTCTTTCCGATATAACCCACCCTTGCCATCCCTCTTAGCTTGATCATCCTATAATATTTGGTGGAGAGCAGACCTACAAACTGTGATGGTCTCATCTTTATCAACTTAAATTCCCAACTTGTAATGCCTGCTA